AAAATGAATATACTACCCAAATTTTTATACCTCTTTCAGGCATTACCCATTTTTATTCCTAATACTTTTTTTAATGAGCTAGACTCAACTCTCTCGTCTTTTATTTGGCAGGGTAAACGCCCAAGGCTTAATAAATTACAACTCCAAAAACCTAAACAACAGGGGGGGTTTGCCTCCCCCAATTTCCGGTTTTATTATTGGGCCGCCAACCTTAGATGCTCAGTGTTTTGGTATTTCTACTACAACCTGCGTGACTGTCCTGACTGGGTGGCTATAGAGCTACGTAGTGGTAACAATATATCCATCCCTGCCTTGCTCTGTTCCCCACTTTCACTCGCTTCATTTAACGCCATTTCAAACCCTGTAGTGAAACACTCACTGAAAATATGGGGCCAGTTTAGGAAATACTTTAAACTTCATGACTTCTCCCTCCTGAGTCCAATTGCACTTAACCATTTTTTCAGACCATCTGTTCAGGATGGGGTGTTCCTAGAGTGGCAACGGAGGGGGCTTATTTATTTTAAGGACCTTTTTATAGGGAAGAATCTGGCATCCTTTGAGGAACTTTCCACTAAATATGGTTTACCTACATCCCATTTTTTTAGATATTTGCAAACCAGAAACTTTATTCAGTCTCACTTATCAGGCTCAGCTTCTCCACCAGAGCATACACTGTTGGAAACCATTCTATTGTTGAACCCAACTCGTAAAGGGCTGGTTTCATGGCTTTATAATAAAATGTTGAGTACGAAAGGGTCCTCCTCACCTGAACTTAAAACTGCATGGGAAGAAGATTTGAATATGACTATACCAGATGAGACATGGGACTCTATACTTAAACTGGTGAATACAACATCTATGTGTGCGCGCCATTGTCTCATTCAGTTCAAAATAGTACATAGAGCCCATTTCTCCAAAAGCAAACTGTCTCGTTTCTATCCAGAAGTCACCCCATGCTGCGACAAATGTAAAACTAGCGTAGCCACACTAGTTCATATGTACTGGTCCTGCCCCGCTCTTGGTCAGTTCTGGACAGATGTTTTTCGTACAATGTCTGGGTTGGCCGGGGTGGTGGTAACACCTGGCCCCCTCTTGGCTCTCTTTGGGTTCAGTGGTTAGGGGTTGCCTTTACCAGCCTCTAAACGACGGGCCCTGGCATTTTGTTCACTGATAGCGAGGCGAACAGTTCTGATCAGGTGGAAGGGTGCTGCTCCTCCAACTCACAAGCAGTGGCTTTGTGACCTCATGTCGTGTTTGAAACTGGAAAGGATTAGATGTTCTCTTCAACACGCAACTGGTAAATTTGAAAAAACATGGGGAGCCTTTCTTGACTCATTTCAAAACATACAATAATGCTCCAGATTATTGAAGTTAATTGATTTTATTAAGATATGTTCCATTTCTGTCAGGGATAGGAATGCAGTGGGTGGACCTACTGGGCAGTGACCTGGGTGGGCTAAAGGGGATTACTTTGGAGGGATTATTTTCTCTGTGTATATTATTTTATGTATGTGTTAGATAGACTTTAACTAGATACTAGATTTGTATTCACAAACTGTATGTATTAAAAGAAAAAACTCAATAAAAAGACAGTGATTAAAAAAAAAAAAACCCACAAAAAAACTTGTCTGTAATCTGTAAATACAAAAAAATATGGCTCAAAATACATCTATACATCAAGCTAAAAACTTACTGTAGATTGCCTCCAATTTATTTTTGTCCAGAGGTAAACGTGCATCCCCTCTGCCTCGTTTTCCCCCTCGAAGATTGCTCACCAGCAGTGTCTCTGTTGGGAATACTGCTGGGAGCAGATGCCTCACAAAGACTGTAGCAGAATTTGCATTAATAGCATAGGCCCACGCCAGTTTCGCGATCATGACTCCTGTCCCAGGATGGATCTCCACCTGATCAAAAAAAGGAATTTAATGACAATTTAGGACCAGTATCAGACAATTCAAGCAACACTACATAACTTTCAGCTTAAAACTCTGTTTATGACTCATTTTGATGGCGCTGTGACATTTATATACATTGCAATGTCCTAAGGCTAACAGAAAGCACTTCACTACTTTTTCTTTTGTTGTGGTGCATCACTTGTGACCTGTGCTGGTGTGTGACATCACAGCATAGCTAATTCAGCAAAGACACCAAAGAGGACATCAGATAAAGAGATGAAATACAGTGAGATGAGACAAGAGTCAACATGAAACTGACTTTTACTGACTTGAAGAGATCTCAAAGAGACAGGATGCAAATGTTGGATTAGTAAATCTTTGGGGGTTGGTAGGAAATCTCTCTAAGGCTGTAATGCATGAAAAGCTAATTAAATCTGTCAGATGTACAGTAGAAGTAAGTATGGGCATGTTTCCCCATTAAATCTAATGAGAAAGTGTGTCCAAGCCTTTGACTGGTCCTGTATCAATTAAAAATGTTCCTGATAGACAGTAGATCCAATTTATGCACCTTATTTATCCTTTAAAAATACCTTTGACGACTGGGACTCTCTTGTAGATGGAGTGACAGACTCTGATGAGACAGATGGAACAGATTTGGGAATGGGCATCTGTGAATCATCAGATGATGAACCCGGCCTGGACTGTGTAGAACTCTGGGGGAGCTCAAAACTTGATCTCTTAAGAGGCTCAGCTAAATCAATCACATTTTTCATAGTCTTCATGAGTTCGGGCACATCTGTACACAGTAAAACAGAGATGAAAGGTGTTACACTCATTGTTTAAACAAGTGACCTCTTAAAGTATATTAGTTTTGTAATTATTTAAAGAGTGATACCTTCTACAAGCAACTCCCTCAGTTTGGCATTCTCTTCTTTCAGGTCTTGGATCTCTCGCTTAAGTTCAACCACAGTCTTTTTTGGACTTTGGTCACAGTCAGTGACTGAAAGTGGTGAATGACTGTACATTGCAAGGAATTCCTTTGCAGGGTCTTTCCTTGTGAGAGCCTTTGACTTCTGGACATACAAAGAAATTAAGAGAAAGTAACTGACATGATAAGACAAAGAAAAAGCTGATAGTGGAGTTTAGAATCTGAAGTGTAAATACAACAGATTCAATATCTGTGCCCCTAAGTCCGCATACTTTAAAAAGCTGATTTGACAACCAGAAACATCACGGCTTGTTCCAAAGTTCAGACTACTTGGAAGGCAGTTCAAAATTTCAAATAACTTTTTTCACAATTTAGATGGCTACATCTGATTACCGTATTTTCACGACTATAAGGCGCGTATAAACGTCTTTTTTTCGCCTCAAAATGTGCGGCGCGCCCTATGTGTGTTGTTACTGCGGACTTTTGAGACCACCTCATTGAGGAGATGATGAAAGAGTGGCTGAATGTAAGGAGACCAGGTGTTTTTTTTTCAACTCATCACCACTGCTGTTAATCTGTGACTCCATGCATGCCCATCTCACAGCTGATGTGAAAAACATGGTGAAACAAATGAACACTGTGCTTGCTGTTATTCAACCGCTCAACATCGGTGTGAACCGGACGCAGCAGAAGCAGCGAGTTTACATGCAAAGTCAATGGTTGACGCGCGTATAGGCGCAGCAAAAGGTCCCGCAGCGCGCTTTGAGCAGCAGGCGCAGCGCGTCGGGAGCGTTTAAGCATCTGACGCGTCGCCAACGTGCTGCTGCGGCTCGAGATGGAAAAATTGAAGTTTTGCTGCTGGACGCGCCGCATCAACCAATCAGAGAAGCTGATCTGGGAGCTGACAGCGAGACAGACACGTCGCTGATGATACACATATACACATCGCTGTCATCGCTCCTCTGAAACAGTTTATTGACGCCTAAATTAACTTAACCTGCCCACAGAATATGTTCGCTTTTATTATCCAGTTTTCAGGTGGATTTTCCCACTTAAAAACATATTAAAACTACTTTATTTCCACTGATGACAGCAAATATAGCTGTGTATTTAATACAAAGTAGCCTATTAATCAAACCTTGGAGTACTGGCTGTGAGACAGACACATCGCTCTGATGACATATGGTATTAAGACAAATGAAAAGGGCTGGATGGATGAGGGGATCATGAAAGCGTGGTTGAGGGAGGTGTATGTGAGAAGACCAGGTGTTTTTTTTCCACGCATCACCATCGCTGTTAATCTGAGACTCCATGCGTGCCCATCTCACAGCCGATGTTAAAAAAAGGTGAATCAAATGAACGCTGTGCTCGCCGTTATCCCGGGGGTCTGACAAAGGAACTTCCACCACTCGACATCGGTGTGAACCGGTGTCGAGGAGCCGCGCGGCACGGAAAGTGACTCTGACAGCGAAGAAGGGGAAATTGGCATGTCTGATTTAGCGCAGCTGTTTAATTCAGAAACAGAGGATGATGACTTTGATGGGTTTGATTAATACTTTGTAATAAATACTTGAATAAAGCACAAACATACTCAGTTTTGCTCCCGCTCTATTTTTCTACCTGAAAACTTAATTCAACAGCAGCCTCCGGGTTCACCGCGGCGGCTGGCAGGTGTTTTTCATCTAAATAATCTAAATCTTGCAGCTATATTTGCTGTGATCAGTGGGAAAGTGAGAAAGTCCACCTGAAAACTTAATCATTGCAGTCAGTTTATCCAGATTATCCTGCCTATACTATTTCTCCGGGTTCACTGTGGCGGCTGGCAGGTGTTTTTCATCTAAATAATCTAAATCACAGTGCCCTGTCATCAGCGATGTGTCTGTGTTTGATTAATACTTTGTATAAATACATGAATAAAGCACAATCATACTCAGTTTTGCTCCCGCTCTATTTTTAAATACGCAGTAGAGGCATTTAAACGTAGGAGAGGACATGTACTTGTATATAAAAAACGTGCCCTATAGTCAGGTGCGCCTTATGTGTGTGTTAAATACAGAAATGGCACACATAACTGAGACTCCACCTTTTAGTACGGTGCGCCTTATGGTCGTGAAAATACGGTAATCATTTATCCTTTAACATATAACATAATTCACTGCATGCAGATGACAACTGTGTGCAAGATAGCAGGACCATTAGAGTAGGTTTGTAAAGGTAAAACTGAGTTTCGACTCTCAAATGATATCAGTGGTCTTAAAAAAGTATGTGTACAATTAACTTTTCCAGTAACAGAGAACCTTAGGCACTATAGTCCTTGGTAGGGACAAGTGTGCAATGTAGAGACAGGGGTGTATAAACAGTAAATGCCCTTTGGAGGCTAGGTCAGCCCAGTTGAAGTGGCTGTAACCTGCATAGACCCCATCCAATGGTCAACATGGACTGCAGACTTTGTTGGCTGGCTACTTTGAAGTCTGTCACGTCTGGTGTCTCGTCATGTCATGATTACCTATTGTGTACACCTGGGGTTCCCCTCCCTCATGTGTTTAAATAGTCCTCGTTTCCCATTGTCTTGTGCGAGTGCGTTTTCGTCTCTTGTCCGTCTGTCCTTCGTCACCCCCACGCCAGGTTTGTTTTTGTCATAGCCACAGTTTTGCCACAGTTTTGTTAATCGTTATTTTGTTACTTTGTCACAGCCGTAGATTTTGCCTCAGTCTTGTTATTCTTTACTTTGTTACTTTGCCTTTGCTCATAGTTTGCCACAGCCGTGTTTGTGTATTTGGTCTGGACTTCCTTTTTTGCAATAAACCTTTTCTTCCCTCATCTCCGCACCTGAGTCCTCCGTCAACACCCACCCTTCATGACAAAGTCCACTTCCAATACTCTGTGATGCAGTTAGTATCAAAAATCTTCATGGATTTGTTTTTAATGCTAAAATAATAGAAGATATAATACAACAGTGTCATCACCACATTAAAGGTCAAAGTAAATTGATGTTACCTTGACTTGCAAAGGCTGCAACAGAATCTGAGTGTCATCTGGATCTGAGTCATCAGAATCATCCTGATTGTTTTTAGGGTGGACTGGTGCCCTCTTGGTCAGGTCTGCTGGTTCATTTTCCCTCAGTAATGCATTAAGTTTACGAGCTGCCTCAAAACGAGTAGCTAGAGAACAAAAAGAGGATACAAACAAAATTACATAATAATAATCT